ATTTCCGCCTTCTTTGAAGAGGGCTGGATACAGACCGTCCGGTCCTGGTGGCACTTCACGCTTCAGTACGGCTATTTCATACCTTATTTCGTCTTCCGAAGGGCGATCAAGGTTTACATTCCATTCGCCCGTATGCATTATCTCCACCGGCTGTGTTGCAGGGGGCCAGCTGAACTGCTCTTCGAAGTGTTCGGCCCATCTCTCCAGCCGACGTTTTTGCGAATGAACCATCTTTTTCACTTCTCGTTTCGCTGACCGTTGCTTTCCTAGGGCCAGTCGATCGTATCAGTTGATAGAGGGCACACAGGGCACCCACAGGAGCTATGATTCTGAGACAACCGCTGTCGAACAGACTGCTTGAACAGGCCAAGTTTCGCGGGGTTATTCCCCTGAACCACATTTAATTGATTCTCGTGAACGTCATGTGGTGAACAGAACTGAGAGTTTTTCGAGGAGATGAATGACTGAAGATGCCAGTATCGAACCTACTGACCCTGTAACTGAGATGCGCGGACATCCAAACGCACTTACCCGAGGGGGTGTCCTCTAGCATGAAACGGATAATCCACCTCCTGGGCCTTCGGAAACATCTGCTGTAGATCCGCCTTTGTAGTGGTCTGATGTAATCCCGTAATAAATAACCGCTTCCATTCAACACATTCTGAACCTTGAGTGGCTAGGTACTGAGGACGACCAGGTTGTGTGTTCACCGTGCGGCCGGCAAACAGACGACCCATTAGCGACTTTCGGGCTGCAGTGGCTGACTGAGAATCTCCATACTCCAGGAACGCGTACCTGAGAGGAGGCGCCAAAGAAAAGGCATTCTAGAGCAGGCTAAAGTCGTTATAAAAAGTAGCACGCAGAACATGGAAGACAAGTCAAAATATACAGGAATATGCTTGTGGGTAAACACGCGCAAATGACCAAGAAGCTGGGAAAAATCCCTGCAGCGGTGAAAGAAGGGAACAATATGTAGAGACTGGACGGAGAGTTAAGGAAGAGCAAGCAGTCAACAGTGCTCTGGACTAGTTGGATTACCTGAAAGACATCGATGGTGCTTATCGGTTGAGACATCTATAGTGCAAAGCTACGTAATCGGCGGTTTGATACAGGTAATTAAGAAGCTATGCACATGCGTTTTGTTCACGTTTTCATTCAGTTTTACGTTTCCAATCAGTGTGAAAGATTCGATTTATAAGCAAAGATCATGGCAATTTTTCGGCGAACTCAACGATACCAAATTTTGTGTGAAATTGAGTAGACCGTTCCGTAGTACAAGTGACTTTAGTCTCAAGAATAGTCAGTGTGGCGGAAAGCTAGTCCTGTTGTCTTAATCCGTATACATTACGACGGGTGATTGATGTCGTGTTCATGTTGCTCAACGGAATAAGTCTCAAATGAAGCTCTTCCGGAGAAGACCTAACCGAATGGCGGAATGGTGATCATCAAAGGTAAAGACCGTCAGGGTGGGACTGGACCTTACTGTGGTGTGACGGTTTGTGGGCTTGCTTGACCCAATGAGCTATACAGTGGAGTGTGGGTGCAATGCTCACAGAGTCACTCATACCAGGTTGGTCAGTGGCTAGAGGTCTGACCAAAACAGTCTCCTGGCCATCCAGGTTTCGGGTCGGAATACGTATAGCGACTTGTTTCGTGAAAATTGAAATGCACTTGCAATTCCCGCCAGACACCCCCACCCTACGGTTAGGCTTTTGAGCCAAAGGCTTTTGTTGAGGACCCTAATCGTCCTCCTGTCTACGTATGGGCGGCGTGGCAGTATCCCAGTCCACATACAACCGTGGATTGTAGTTACAAATGATCTCGTGCCACATGTACGGCACTGAAGCATCAGCGTTGAACACTAACGTTATGTTGTCGTTGACGATGATGTACAAATCACTGGTTTGTTAAAGAATGACGACGGTATGGTGAGACCAAGTTCTCCCGCACTAGAAACCTAACAAGCAACCTCCTCAGACCAGACCAGACTAGTCTTTGAAGTGTGCCATAGTGAATCCGCCGAAGGTGTCTCCCCGAATGATGACGAAACGACTGCATGTCAGTTACAAAGCTCGCGGAACGGATCAACGGCTACCTGATCAATTATCAATGAATATCCCCGAGCTACCAATATTCCAGCGGATTGACATGTGTTAGGAGGTTTAGATAATGCTACCGCCACGAGCATAAAATGGAAAAAACCACTCTAACGGAACATAAGGCGGCCTGATGCAGTTCATTCAGTTGCTTAGAAACATCATAAACGAAAGATTCAACTGGGTCTCCCGCAAAACCAAATTTATTTGCAAATGAGTGTATTTCGTTAATTTCGTGCAATTTGGTACCAAGTAGAAAATAAGATTGACGGAAACTCGGGGACTGCGCCTACTTGATGAGCCTCAAGAAGAGCGAAACCGGTCGTGGGCTGTCGTAGCAACCTTATTACCGAATGATACTTTTCCTCGCACACAAATGCATAGCTAGTTGTATCAAATGTGGTTTGCTTCTTACTCGGGGGTATTGGACGTATTTTTTTGGCTCACGCATCTCTGGGATGACATGCTAATAGGAACAGCATGAGATTACCTCAACTCAAGCCGATAGAGCACAATCAACTAGCTGCTGAAAGATTTAGAACTTGTTTGTCTTCAAAAGAATATAAGCTTTGAAGTGGCGGGTGTTTCGATAAGCATGTCCCAGGAAGTCTACAAATCGTCGCATGCACCTGACGACAGTACGAGTTGTATGGAAGAAAACTGATCCACAGACGCGGAAGGTGATGAACAGTGCGTCGCATGAATCGCAACCAAACAAGCAACAGCGTTCGTTTGTATCCAAACGAAAGTCAAAAGGAACAGACATACAACAAAACCGTTGGTGCCACGGAGGCAAGTCCGGTCTCCTACAAACCAGTGACAGTACTCAGGCTTGTTCATCGTCAATAAGTGGACCACTTACAGCACGTCTCACTGCTCAAGCCACTTGGTGTCCACTAGAGCTGTTCAGAAAATTCAATATGCTGTGCAAGGGATAAAATCGGTGCTGAGTAATCGTTCTTCAGGGAAGAATTACAAATGATCCTACACGGATGTTAGGGACCGAAATAAAAGGAAGACAAACAACCCCGAGTGAAACGAGATGAACTTAAAAATCAGAAACATCTGTGTAGGACCAACTGGGAATCAATAAGGAAGAGTCAGACATGGATACGCCGGAGAAAAGCGACCGCCCAGTACAACGACATTCTCCTCAAGATCTAGGAGTACGCTCCCCGGGTTTCAAATGGTATCACGGTTGTCAACGATAACATAGCTGGAATATAGAACGTACTTTCGGCAAGTTTTCGAATGTGTGTTATAGGAGAGCCGGCAAGCTAATGCAGAGGGTGATAACTGCTTCAGTAGGTCCAGAGAACAGTTCGCGGGAACTGGAGCGACGTACAGAGAACGTGAAGCTAAGTCCACTGAAATTCATGAAGGAAAGGACATTCGTTACAGTTCAAGCATGGTAGAAATGAAGCGTGGGGTTAACAGATCAGCAGGTGGCGTACGAACGCTGTGGCGGTAAATGTGCCCTCTCTAATTTCAAACAGAGCATGGGATGTAAAGTACAAGGTGCCGCCAGTGTGTATACTCCCGTAAAGCTGACTCTACTGAAAAAGAAACCGCTTCAGGCGTGCATTCTAGCATCTTCATTTTCAGCGAGGCCCAACTGTACAAAATTTTAGTAAATTGGTCGACGAGATATAATAGAGACCAGACTACTCACCTGATCGACGTTCGATTTCCTTCAGCAGTTCTGCTGGGTTGTTCAGTGACAGAGGAGATTCTTGTACGCTGCTGACATCCACCGCAGCCGTTGTGTGCGTTTTGGGAACCTAAAATTAGCCAATCAAGTGGGTGAGGCGAGATCAAGCCGTTGGACTGGCGAAAAAATGTGACAAAGCTTTAAAGTCATCACAGTGACTGTTATGACAATGGACGGATGGATTTCCCGTCAACATATACCCAATGAGAGTGAAATGACCAAGCAAACAGCGGGATGAGGTCAGCCAAAAGAGGAAACGCTTTTACTCAAATCTGAGAGGTTGAATCCAATCTAACTTAACCTGACTTATCGTACTGGTACCTATATGGCCACGAGAATTAGGCAGAACCTACAAGATATTTGAGGCGCTCTTAGCGACACGAAATTCAATAGGAGGATTTCGTGAGCAATTGGATGCAGCCATTTTCCGGGAAAACTCCCTACGAAACTGTTGTGTCTTGATGTACGGTGGTGCAACTCTGTATCGGTTCCTTGGCTTCCTGCTCCGCCTACTATGGTATATCAAAAGGCAAGGTAGCTCTACACAGCTCTTTATGGAGACAAAGGAAAATTATTACAACTGTATTTATAAGTCAGTCACAGAGTGTTCCACAAGGTGGAGCCAGAATCTCCGTGATGGGGCGAGAAGTGTCGAGTCAAAGATACTCGATTCGGGTTGGCTGGCATTCTGACCAATTAGGGCATGCCTTCGTTTGGTCCGTGCACTGCACGTGACACATTCGTCTAAATGACGTGATCTTCTGTTATTAGGGACGTGTGAATTTTCGTGTAGTCGCTGCATTTTTTACCAGACACGGCCCCTAATCCAATCAACCAGGAAGTGGTCATTCGACTGTACTATGGTTTCAGAATGGTTTATCTCTGAATCTGAAGGGACGTGTGTATCAAGCAACAGTACGAGCTGTTTTGGAGTATGGCTGTGAGACTTGGCCTATTCCAGCAGCGGACCTGAGACGTCTTCAGGTGTTCGACAATCGTTCTCTCTGAACCATAGCTCGTGTGGGCTGGTGTCGGCGAATCCGTAACGAGGCTGTTAGAAAGCGCGTTTTCGGTTGTGTAAGGGGTACTTTCATTGGACTTGGTAGGGAGTATGAAGATCACGCTGTCGGTTCTACTCGCCTTCCAAGATGGGCATCGCGTGATCCTCACTGTGCCTGGTTGGAGACACTACAAGATATGGCTGCCAACCGATGTCAGTGGCGTTCTCGTTGAGCTTTTATCCATATTGCCTGAGTGAGTGTCTGGAGGTGTAGGCACCTCGGAATGATTGTGTTAAGCTAGCACTAAGTCCCTTCCCCATCCACCTTTACTCTTTTCTTTACAATAAGGCCTTCAAATAAATCATGGTTGTATGGCAGTGAAGCATCGGTGTTGAACACTGATGTCACACTGTCGATGATGAAGTTTCCCCCTTCTGGAATGTTACACTAATACTGACTGTATTCAACAATTTTCTAATGGCTTCACACGCCCTTATTCAGTGTACAATGTCCGCTGTCCTTGTTGACTCTTGGTTTTTAGTTGCTGCTCAGTTAAACTCACTGAGTATCCGCGCGGTTGTTCGACTGACCTATTTTGTGCACAACGCTCTTGGTCGACTAAACGATACTAAAAGCAGACCAAATACGCTGTCCTGAAATGCACCGATGAGTAGTTTAGGAGGCGTAAAACCTATCAACTAGGTGTCCCGTGACATGCACATAGTCAACCTTACTCAAGATGACAAACCTATCATTATGCTATACAGTCCGTATACATCAGGACAATTAGAGCTCTTTCCTCCTTTGGTGTAACCTTTAGAGCTTCCGGTTGTACGGACTTCTGTAGCGGGACCCTATCTCTGTTTTCAATGAAGAACGTTTTTGGGACGCAAACTCAACACTGGGAATTATTTCTTCTGATCAAAACTTTGTGGCTTTCACAGAATGGCCTGATGGACAGTGTGCGAGTAGAGGATAAAAATTCACACAATCCGAAGGAACCAGTTGTTCAAACCAGTCGGCGCTCATGCGGCTAACAGCCTGAAACTTAGACAGGTGATCCCCTTGGTGAATTTCGACGTAGGAGCGTGGTGCTTCGTGTAGCTGGGTCTTCCGGGAAGTAAAACAGTAAGAACTAACAATCCTAACAAGTTTGCTGTCTCTAGGATAGTGCTGTTTCTATCATCTGCGATACTCTGTGACAGCGCGGTGGACAAATGAACACAGAATCGTTCAGTCAAGCCTGAGTATAAATTACAGAGTTAGCTTACTTTGCTCTTCGTCTTTTCGTCCTCCTTCTTCTTTACTGGCTGTGCTAGAAAAGTACAAAAATGAGATGCTTTACTACATGAGTAGATTGAATTATATGCTAGATAGATCGTAGAACAACCAACTCCCGGTATGAACCGCACCGCTTTCTTGTTATCGAACTCTTCGGAGATGGACAATAACATCCAAGAACATAATAAAGTAGCATTCTCGAACTAACATCACTTCACTACGGCCTGCAAAATCATTCGTCCAGTTCAAAAAAGATCCCTCGACATCGGGATGAGCCGTATGCTCAAGTGACAGCAGTAGAACACAACTGAATAATTTGAGTTGCTCGGGGTTTAAGAAATTAGCAGCAAGCCCTTTTCTTAGTCGAAACAAACGTGCAAAAATTCGCTGAAATCAGTCGGAGAAAGTACAATATTCACCAAGGGGACTTGCTCTAGATTGTACCATACGTGCATCGATGTTGCAGTTTAAGGTGGTGTTTGAACCATGCATCCAAAAAGAACTACACCCACCTGTAGAAACATGGGTGACTAAATTCAAGCAGATACCTTTCAAGAAAACGTGTGGTAGAAAACCAGCTAATGTTCAACAAACTACCTTTGATGACTGTGATATTCACTTATATAAATGCAGCAATGGAAACGTCAATGCTCCTTGTTAACTTGAATACAAATTAAACATTGCCATACGTACAAATGATACATGTTCTAGGGTTAATCTATTATTGATCCTGTAGCGCCGTTTCAGGTGATGTTCATCTTAGGGGAAGAGCGCCAGCTTCCGCCACGGTTTTAGCCTTTACGGATGGCACTCACGAGGAATATGCCCTAGTGTTCGGGGACACTAACCCACCACTGGCTTCTGTTTATCACTGAATTTGAATTTGAGATATCAGTGAACTGCTGTAAACCATTTCGGGCGATTTATCTTTCTCCAGGTGTGCGAGGGGTGTTCTTATGAGACTCCCTGAGTCCGAGTATTGTTAGCCATCCACTGCAACAGTTTGAAGACGAGTTAAGGCATATTAAGAGGTGGGATTTAAAAATATCAGCATTGGAGTATTGTATTATGTATGTTCGGAAAAGGATGATGCGCATTCATTTTGGAAAATCCGGTTTTTAAGGTGTTCGTTGAGTAGACTCGACATATTTGGAGCTTCCCACCTAACTGGCTCCGAATACATCAACGTGATGAGATCGGACGTGATAAGATGAGAGGGCAGCCTAATGCACTAGTGACCTAGTCCGAAAATAAAGGACGCACAACACATTTCCAAGTTACAAGTAGATGTCTGAAGAAAATGCCTAGCGTTTTACTGTAGCTAAATGAGTATCCCCCTCTCCAAATAACTCGGTTGCGGACTGTGTGTTGCTGAGCTACACCTTCCAAAGCAAACGAGTTTGCACCCTCATTTTCCCGTGACACCGTAGAGAGGCCATCAAGAGTGACAAATGGATCCTTGCATAGGACAATCTGTCAACCGAAGAAAGCGTATATAAGCTCATTAAATGACCTTGAGTATCCACCGTGAGGGTGGCGAGCAAGAAGCCTAGTTGCAGTCTGTAAACATACAAAAACTGGAGAAAGCATTCTTCACGCTGTTAAGAAGAACAGGTGTTTTGATTAGCTAAAATCACCTACATTTTAACCTCCTGCGCTTAACTGACTGTACATACACCGTCCACTACGAACAGACAGTCCATGGAACCGAGTAGCTTTCTTACCCCCTCAGTTGTTTCTTTGGTAGTGGGTGGTTAGTCATGCGTAGAACACGTTCCAACCGCTCGACTCAATAAGCTTTATTTACAGCCATGCCCTTTTTAGAGTATATATCAAAGAGTTGAGTGGACACTACACGGAAAACAACGGTGCCGTGAGCTGGGAATTAAGTGGACCTAAGACTGGGGCTCATTTTCAAGTGCATTTTTGGTGGATGAGGTAAAGTACTCAGGTCCCTACAGAAATCAATTTCTGATATTGAGCTAGATTTAAATGGAAATGAATACCCTAAAAAGACGATGAGACAGTCAAAACAAAAATGGCGTTAAGAAGGATATCCCAGCAGCTAAAATAGGCTTCACTGAATCCACAACTGACAACTATGCTTCGAACTAGATTTACTCAGCATGGGTTATACTATCCTTATACCAAAAAGGCGGAGACTACTAAATGGTTTGCTTAGGAAATTAGTTTTGGAAGCGTTCACATTGTATTGTCCGATTTCGTTTCGCCTTGGTATGCTAATCTAGTTTTCTGTACATTACTGCAGGATGGAGTTCATCCCCATGAGAGGCTTGCCAGCCATTCATCGAGGAAAGTGGTAACCGCATGGCTTCTTCTATTAGTACAAGCGAAGCGTTCAGTCAGGAACACTTTTATTTTCTTTGGAAGAACTAAGGACATACTGCTGACCCGGTGACGGAGAGAAAAACGGTCCCATTAAACCGGAAACCCCTTCTCTAGTGGATGATGTGTGACCAGCTGGTGGATTTTGTTTGTCCAGTACCCCATTTCATCCGGTCAGCGAACAGGTTCATGTTGCAAACGCATCGCTGCGGCGTTTACAAGGGGCCTTGAAACAGCGCTAGCCAGTGAATACTAATGAAGCTTCAAAGTGACCCAAGTTGTTTGAGGTCAGCGTTGTCGAATTGTCATACCAAGGATTATGGCCGTAATCAGTAATTGGACGGACCAAGTTACGTCTCTGAGGCTTATTCCAATGTGTTCTTTATGAGCAGACAGCTGCTTGCAAGTCAAGCCATCCTTCGAGAAATACACTCACTTACAAATCAGTTTAGTCTTCACGAGTAGAACATAAGGTTGACGGAAACTCGAGTACTGAGCCTACCTGATGAGCTCCAACAAGGGCGAAACCGGTTGTGGGCTGTCGAAGAGTTTTCAGCAACCTTGTGAGTAGTTTTCTTTATCAAGGTATCCTTGTTTTTTCAGCGTCTTCAACACGATCAAGCCAGTCGATGCGCAATTATTCGGTGGGTTAGGGGACAGCCACCATTGTGATACAATGGATCATCACTAATTACGCATAGAATGCTTAGGTGTGGAACTATGGATAGTATCAATCCGTGACTTGGATGCCAAACGAAATCAAGTGCATGGTCAGTAAGGGACCATACAAAGCAGCTGTTGGTCATTCAATCCCGGGTCTATGGTGTGCTAGCCAGGAAGAATGCAATCTTGGCAGAGCGGAAGGGGGATTCCAATACGTAAGAGTAAATGAAGAAGCCCTAATAGGAGGATTAACAAATGATTCGCTCAGAAGCCCTGCTATTTTGGGAACATTTCTACAGAAGAAAGTAAAGAAACTAAGACGGCAAATGAAATTCATCGGTTTCATAGTCGACGCCCGCTTTTTCGAAAGACTCACATTCAAGTATAACTGTCCCCACCAACTGTTACGCGATGGAGTCAATGAAAAACCCGCCCATGCAGTAGGTTAACGGAAAAGAAGACTGCTAGGTGGATTTTTTACCTGGTAACCACAAAATCAACGTCGCGAAATACGCCCATCTGCAAACTAATTTGGTTTTCATGAGAGACTCAAATGAATTCACGTTTGACTTCTCGTTTCCGATGTTCTTCAACTGAAGGTGCTGTTTACTTTTCAGCTGGAACGATATTTTATTTACCGCAATATCCTTTCTTGACGAATTACTGACCGGAAGGTTCGTGGTTCGAACTCGACCTCTGCCTCTCGACTTCCCCTATCTAGGCGTGAGCAACCTGGATGTACCCCAGCCCGCGGGTAGCATGGCAGCTAGGCACCGAAAGGATGTTGCCACTGAACAACTATTTATTTATTTATAATCTTGACGGAACGCTACTCAACAAGGTGGCTGGAAACTGTAAGGAAAACCAGTCGTGGGCTATCGTACAGTTTTCAGCAAAGTTGAGTAGTGCACGATCAAGAAAATATACTGCGTTATTTTGAACATCGCACCAACTGAAACATGAGCTAGTCTTTGTGTAGCAAGTTCGGATGAAAAATATCATAAACGAGAGATTCAGCTTGTCTTCAGTTAAATCTCCCGTTAAAACGAAATTAGTTCGCAAATGAGTATACCTTTCGAGCTGCGAAAATTAAGGGTTCAAGTGAAACCGAAGATTTTCCTGAAACCACGCTGCCTCAAGGCAGAAAGCGAGCACACCCACTGAGTGTATCATTTTCAGGCTAGTGAAGGTCTTCGCTCTTCGGGTAATCCGTCACCTCCAGACAATTCGTCGTCAGGAGAATTAAAAACCTAAAATGGTGCATTTCGAGAGTCTTCTCCGTAAACTAATAAAACGGGTGGCAACGGCGAACACAACAGTCGCATTGCAGGAAGCAAATCCTACAAGTGAGAACTGATAGGCCCTCAATAAATGCTACAACACAAGCAACAGGTGAGAGCTGGGTGAAAACTTGTGAGAGAGAGTCACCGGCTATGGTAACCTAAAAAATTTACGCACGTTCCAAAGAGTTCGGCTTCTCTTCCGAACGTTCAAATTCCTCTTCCTCACTGGATCCTCCGGTCGAACCATCGGTTTTGTTGAGCAGCAGGGAATTTAACTCCGATTCGTCTAGTTCTTCATCAATATCACTCTCGGAAACGTCTAGATCACTCGATTGTGCACCTTCAGCAGAAGGATCCAACACGGAGTGTTCACCATCCGATGAAGAACTTTTGGTCCCATGTCCTTTATTCCTCGTCTTCCCTGGATGGTCACCTAAATGCCATTGTGGATTGATGAGTTCCGGTTCGCTGTCACTAGACACAGCTCCGAAACTAGCCTTACTCTTCGCTGAGACCTTCAAATCCCGCTGGTGTACGTGAATTGCATCGTCGTTGCGTTTGTTCTTCCTCTGTTTCTTCTGCTTTGGACCTGGTTCACTCAAAACCTGTCCCTGTCCGGAAAGTGGTTTGGAAGCCTGAAGCTTAACACCTGCAGCAAGTTTCTTTGCCTTGTTCTTAGTCTTCTTTGTTTTCGGCTTAGCACAAACTTTTGGAACAACGGAAAGTCCTTTCCTAGACTTTTTCGACATTTTCTGAAACAGAAGAAATGAGATCATTAGGTTATAAAGTTGTGTACACAGGTCCACAGCAGACGGGAGATCAGAGTCAAGAAAAATGCAAATGATTAAAAGCCATTATATCTGTCGTCACTTTCACTTCTAATTATCTCGTCAAGAGATTTACGATTGCTTCTGGACAACAAAGGGCTGCCAGTGGGTCCGTATGTGAACACATTTGTAAGGTGCTGCCATTGGCACGAAGCAAAATTACATGCCGCTCACCTCGCGGTCTGTACCGCTTTCTCATGATCCTCTTTGCATCGCCGAAACGAAGCCAACCAGCTACAAACGGGCACTGGTTTCTATGTCAGGGTAGCACTGGGCTTGAGTGAACTGGATGATCGAAAGTCGCAGACGACTTCATCGGTATCCAATCCAGCAAAGCGCATCCAGCTCTGAGGTTGAGTAGAACTCTCACATCTTGCACAGCTCAAGAGTGAAAAGTTTGGGCAAACGTTGCCTGTTTGCCAGCTGAGCACACATTACGAACGTTGAAAACCACATGTAGAGGAAAACTCGTGAACTCAGCAGTGTCATTTTGATGGTAGTAGGAGGTCCGGTAAGTTGGAAATAACCCAGCAATGTTCGCATGCAGGCTGGTAAAAGGTTGTGGAAGAACACAGACGGACAACGAACTGTGCGGGTAAATGATACGTTCCGGTCACCCAAGCAGAGGAACAGGGTTTGGTTGAGGTACCCCACACTGAGCCATCAACTCACAAGTCTAACCCTCAAGTCAACAGGAGGATGAACGGTTTTGTTCTGCGTCCTGCCTTTAGATAATGGCTCAATAGTAGGACCCACGAGGCAATGAGCAGTAGAGTTCTCTTGGAATATTCTGCATCAGGAATGAGACAGCAATGTCTTATTCCCTGCACCCTCGAGTTAATCCAACCCACCTGCAGCCGAGCAGGTCAGACAATTGAGTCATCGGCTCCTCGACTTCCCCTGCCACGGCTTGGGCAGCCTGGCAGTATCCCGGCCCTCGTGCTTCTGGTGGCATAGCATTTAGGCACCGAAAGGGTGCTACAGCTGAGAGATCATCGGCTCCGGGAAGAGTCTCTAAAGAAAACCCTACATCCTCTCACTGTCTTGTGGGTCAAACTTTTGAGTCAAAGGCTAAAGGTGGGGTGCCTCAACGGAGCCCACTTCTTCGGTCTGGGCAACCGGGAAGTATCATTTGCCCGCGCGGCCCCGTGTCCATCGATCTTCCTCCCCAACCCATTCCCACCACACAAGCAAACGCCGTTAGGTCATTTGACTGTCAACTATCTAACCGAAGGGCCTTATGCACCTCGCTGGCTATTAACAGTGAAAAATAATGCCCTTCTAAATCCAAGAAGTCTTTTCTATATGGGAGCTTTTAATGTCCGTACTCTGTATCAAATTAACAGAGGCAACGCTTGCTGAAACCTTACATTCCCTTAAAATTGATGTATGCTGTGTCTCCGAAACACGTACACAAGATTCAGGCGTGATGGCGCATCTCATAACGCCAAGGATGAACTCAGCTCATTCACACTTCTCCCTCCGTGTGTCCGGTGACCCAGAAGCGATGACTCGTGGAATATATGGTGTGGGAGTTGCACTCAGCCCCAGAGCTGAACGCGCTTTGCTGGATTGGATCCCAGTGAACAGTCGTCTTTTCTCCGTCCGGTTATCCAGCTCAACCAATTTCAATGCCTCTCGGCATAAAAAGCAGGGGCTGTTTATAGTGTCGGGTTATGCCTCAACGGACTGCACTTCTGATGCCGCGAATAATTTCTATCGAGAGCTCATTCGTCAGGCAAAAAGCACTGACATCGTGATCCTTGAAGGCGATATGAATGCTCAGGTAGGTTGTCTTAGCTCCTTGGAATCACACTTGGGCGGTCGATTCGTAGTCGATGCTCGCCTGCCGCGCAGACAACGGACAGCGACTCCTCCAGTTGTATGCTGATCATGAATTGCTCCTGGCAAGTACGAACTTTCAATATAAACGTTCGCATCGCACAGTCTGGCGGCCACCGTGGACTCAGTTGGATCACGTGGCCATCAGCCACAATTCAAGATTGCCTTTCGTTCTGTGGCACACTACTTGATTCCGATCACGCCATGGTGGGTGCATGTCTGACAGTCTGCCTCCCTCCAGATCCCGCAATGCAGCAAGAAGCATGCCAATCCACTTTCTTCGAAGAACTACCATAGCTCACCAGTATCGATCTGAGCTAGCACAACTCTCCACAGTAAATCAATATCGTAGTGGTAATTAGCATGTGGATGAAGCGTGACAAAATGTGAAAACGGCGTTCAGTGTGGTCTATCCGACTTCTCCAATTCAACCACAAGACCACTGGATGTCGTCGAGATCGCTATCCATTTTTGATGCCTCTAATATATGTGGGCATTTGCTCAGACATCGAGTAAGCAGACGACATAGCTCTTATTGGATCTGACCCGTAGTAATGCAAAGAATATTAAACAATCTACATAATTCTTCCTCGCGGTTCGGCACGCGCTTCACACCTTCAAAGTGTAAAGTGCTATTGGAGGAATGGGTGGGCTGAGAACCTAACTTCATGCTTGCGGATGAACCGATTGAGGTAGTAGGCAAGTTTACCTACCTTGGGAGTAGTATCAGTCCAGATGGTCTCGCAAAAGATGATATTTCCATCCGGATTGGGAAGGCCAGAACCTGCGTCACCTGTGGCATAGGCGTGATTTCAGCCTATCCGTCAAAGGTCGAGTTTACAATGCTGATGTGCGATCCATATTGATGTACGTGTCAGAAACGTGGCCGCTGCTCGCCGAGGATGTCAAAAGACTTTCAGTATTTGACCATCGATGTCTTCGCAGCATTTCCCGAGTCTGGTGGGAACACCGGATCAGTAATGCTGAAGTTCGTTGGATGGTTTTCGGAAGGAATAAGTCGCTTATGATAGATTAACTATCCACACTGCATAGGTTGCGCTGGCTTGGTCACGTGCTCCGTATGCCAGTCGACCGACTTCCTCGTAGGGTTCCTTTTCCACAACCGCGTGAAGGGTGGAAACGAGCAAGGGGAGGTTAAACAATGACTTGGAAGCAAAGTATAAAAGCCACTATCAGCAAACTCAGCTGCGCTGGTCATTGCCGTCTTTCTGGATGGGGACCACGAGACTGGCCACCACCCGCAGGTATGACCCACTCGCGCCCTCAATGGCATTCGTGCCATTGCCTTCAATGAATAGCTCCATTCCCAATCCCCCACTTAACAGTCTGTATTTGCGCACCAATCTATCAGCTCCCGCCTTCAATGTGCTGCTACCTAATCTCCCCAAATCATCGGTGAAGAAACCGTGGCGGCTACAATCACTGTGACAAGCACGCGGTTTCTTACACCTAACAACGGTGATGATTCTGTACTAAAGAACCTGACCCGATAGGCTACAAGGTGTTGGCTTAACTTGATGGTGCGCTTGTCCGCTACTGATCTTGATTACCCTATCCACTCTACACAAAACGCGCCACTAAGAAGCTTACCGAACCATAAATCAGATAAATTTATCAGAGCTCGCTACTCCAACGCCTGGTCCAATGTCGGTTACCAACAGCCACTCGGAACAATTATCCACAGCGCTACACAAAGCCGGAACTTCCGTTTGTGGTACAATCCAACCAACCTCAATTTAACATCAGATATATGAGATATTTCTCGGAATGGCATATTAGTTACTGACCGAAAAGTCCGTCGTTCGAACTCTACCTCTGTTTTCGTCTAGGCTTGGGCAATCTGCCAGTATCTCAGCCCGAAGGAGTGCTACATCTCAACGAACTGATTTGATGGGATCTCAGAGAAGACACTGGCTTTGCTGGAGGTCTGGGGACCGATTTCTCCTGGTCGCAACTACAGCCTTATTGGACACATTATCCAACGCCAGGTGAAACTAAGTGTCTGTGCTGATTGAGAAGCTTGGTGGATCCGAAAGGCCAAAGAAATGGAAGATGCGAAAAATGTTCAACACGTCCACAAGCTGCTCCACTTGATACGTTCGACTGGCCCTAGGATGCCTCTGTCGGCGAACTTGTCAGGGACTAGAGTGACTCTTTCATATCCAGGAAAAGAGGTTTGGACCGCTGGGCACAGTAATTTGTTCACCTGTCACGGCAAATACGAGACGTCAGCCTTCAACAGAAAGGTGGGCTGTGAATATGAAACATCCTTCAGTCTCAGAATTACCTGAGTCTATATCACTACTAAAGCTTCATCGTGCTCGTGATCGTGACAATCCCCCGTGCTCTGTTAAGGTATGGTGTTGAACCCCTCAGGTAGTGCTTGTCTAGCTTATTTACTCATATCTGTGAGGAAGGGACCGTCTCAGACAGGTGAACTGCGTCGACAACACTGCCAATTTTCAAAAAGAGTACTCCCTGTCAATAGTGACCAGAGGTTTCGAATTGAATCCTGTTGTAACAAAGCTTCTAGCATTGTGTATGCGGACGATATTGCCCTCATTGGTTCAGATCCTCCAAAAATGTAAGCCATTTTCAATAAACTAAATAATTCTGCCTCAGGGTTTAGCATGCGCCCCACGCCTACAGTGCTGCTGTTTACAGACCAGTCAATCGAAGTGGTGAAAAAGTTGCTCACCTGGCTGGGGACAAGATTACTTCTCGTATCAAGGACAGGACAGTGTTTGCCAACAACTACGGAGCCGGCGTGACATCAGTTTGCCTGCAAAGGGCAGATTTTACAGTACGACAATGTGATCTATATTGCTTTATGGATCGGGGTGTGGGCATACAAAATGTGACCACCTGTGGCTTCGAAGCAGTGGTCGGGTCTGGTGAGAACATCGGATTAGCGATGCCGATGTATGGTTGTTGGTCTGTTCGCCGAGCTTGGCAGTTGGATTGCAAACGTTTCATCACCAATCGAGGTGACATCGTCAGTGCAGGGTTTAGTGGGTGGATTCCTCCTCTTCTGCCTGTGATTATATAGCTTCTAAACAGTATTTGGTAGTTCTGGAGACGGTCGTCGTGTATTTTGATTGGTTTTCTGTGAATCTCAAGTGGTTTCAACCTCCTGTGTCTGGTTGGTTCGTTGGGTGCATTCAATTCGGCAGTTCTGTATGTGGTTGTCATGCTGTGATTCGGTCGTCTCCTTCTTGCTTTGTGGGGTGGGTTTTGCTCATTTGATTGGCCTTCTGTTTTTCGTGATTGTCTTCCTTTGACCCAATTAGTCCGTTGGTTGCCGTTAGGTTTCTTAGCTCCGAGCTCTTAGCTCCAAGCTCGGCGAACAGACCAACAAACAAACAACGCACCCGAGCTACCTACATTCCACAACATTGCTAGTGCCGATATCAGATGGTTTTAGGGAAAACTCTCCCACGATGGATAATTAGGGCCTACAGAGGTTATACAGTGTGCTGCGGATAAGGGTCATGATGGCCACTTCGGCAGAGATTCACTTTATGGCGTCAGCTAGAGCTCTTTGCAGAGGCTCACTCACATCGACTGCTGTGGGACAACCTGCAATTTTCTCGAATGCCGAAACAGGATTCTTGTGGATAACACAGACAGAGTAATAACCTGTTAAAATCGTTCACAAACGACACTGAAATTAGTGTCATGTTTAGTCCTCTGGGTCATCAGCACCAATACGGACAGTAGTAGATTAAAGATCGAAAATGTCGCCTTTGGCTCAAAAGCCTAACCGCAAGGCAGCGGTGTTCGGCTGGAAATGCAAGTACCTTACCATTTTTTTACGGAACACGTCGCCATACATGTTCCAATCCCCAACCTGGAGGGCCAGGAGACTGTTCGTCGGACCTCTACCCATGGACCAACCTGGTATGAGAGACTCTGTGAGCATCGTGTGGACACTCCCCAGTATAGCTCAATGGGTCGCCGAGGTACACAAACCGCCACACCACGGTAAGGTCCAGTCTCTTCGTGCTGTTCAAACAACACCAGTTATACTATGTAGTGGACTATAGGCAAGCTTTAAATTTGTCTCAGGTTTTTCAAGCCATAAAGTGAATCGGTACAAAGCCTGTCGACCGAATTCATGAGAGATACTTCCACCCCTAACTCGCGCAGGATCGTCGCATATGTCTGAGCGTTCTCCTGGGACCGTGGATTCTCGCATAACCCTCAGAAAACATACCAATGGGTATCGGGGACAGAAACAACACTCCTAATTCATACAAAAGCCTTTAGCGGTAATCAGCGGGCTAGCAATTTTCAAGTTGCCTAATCACTCAAAAAGCCCTGGACGATCTGCAGGTAGACATGACCGGGTACAGAGTACGCGATTTAGGTGTGTTCATTGGTGGCTCCCACAACTCGGAGTTACCCTCTGTGATAAACGCACTTTGGTTGTCTACTCGTTAGGACAGGAGACGGCACGCGCTGATGAAATCTATGTGATGGAACACAGACTGGTTGCGGTATCTTGTGGTTTTCATTCCTTTTTGTATGATACCAGTCCCACCTCTGTCAACAACTATAGTATAAGAAAGAATGAGGTAATACGGAGATTGGGAACAGACGTACCTATCACAGAATATTTAGGACAACCGCCTTCCCCTTGAGGGACGGAAACGGGGAACCCAAGAGCAATGGTGGTATCTGAGGCCTACAAAGAACGATATGCAGGCCCGTATTTTGCCTCAGCATCCCCGTCACATCCAACATTGTCAAAACGTCACTGAGAACGGCTTCCAATCAACTTGATCTCTACGGATGGCAATCGCCAACTCTTGCACTAGACAAATACGTTCAGCGCGTTGGGACCAAACCAAATCCATCCAAGTATCCTGAATAAAACGTCATTCACAACGGCAAAGCTTTTCTAACTAGTATTTCGTCAGTCTCTCGGAGGTAACCTTCCCTCAGCTCGGAAGGAAGCGAATGTTACGCCAATCTACAAAAGTGGTGACCGACTATCGCCGGCAGCTAGAGACCTATTAGCCTCACTAGCGTACCGCGCAAGGTGATAGAACGCATTCTGAAGTGGACCATCTTAAATCACCTCACCACTCCAGCGCAACACGGATTCTACCCAAATCGTTCTTGAGTGATAAACGTGCTCGTATTTATGGACAGCTTCATCCAAGCTAAGGACGAAAGACTCATAGCGGGTGCTATATTTTTCGATTTCTCAAAAGCATTCGATCGAATCTCACACGTACCGTTGATCCCAAAACTCGGATTCAAGGGGTTGCTATCGGACAGAACGTTCCGAGTGGAGGTAGATTCGACCAACTGTCTTCGATCAACTGCCTTCCGGCACTAACCTCCTCAAGGTTCCGTTTAGGGACCACTTTTGTTCCTGATCTAGGTCAACGGTCTTGGGGATTCCCTTTCAAGTCAATGTTTACTTCTGGAGACTATTCAAAGTCCTGGAGTTCAAACGCCAGCGCACTCCAAGCGGATGTAGACGCTGCAGAGTAGTGGTCGTTGGACTGGCACCTTCCTTTGAATGACGGAAAGTGCGCCCATATGTCATTCCGAGGAGACTCACTGAATAACTTTGTTGTGCACATTGAGAATGAACCAAATTTGCCCTTTTCAATTCAGCACGAAAGATTAGCTTAAAAGTAATTCGTCTTTCTACGGATGATTCTCCCGTATAACTCGCATGAACTCCCAGATACTCTACGTAAGACGACTTCTTGAATATGCCAACCAAGTTGTCTACTCAGGACACAAGACGTATCC